TCCTTACACCGTAGAGATAATGTGCCACTACTGTACAGTTAATCTGCCTTCACCGTACAGTTAAAGTGCCCTTACTGTACATTTAATCTGCCTTCACCGTACAGTTAAAGTGCTCTTACTGTACAGTTAATTTCCCTTCACCGTACAATTAAAGTGCCCTTACTGTACATTTAATCTGCCTTCCCCGTACAGTTAAAGTGCCCTTACTGTACAGTTAATCTGCCTTCACCGTACAGTTAAAGTGCTCTTACTGTACATTTAATCTGCCTTCACCGTACAGTTAAAGTCTCCTTACTGTACAGTTAATTTTCCTTCACCGTACAGTTAAAGTGCCCTTACTGTACTTTTAATCTGCCTTCACCGTAAAGTTAATGTGCCCTAACTGTACATTTAATCTGCCTTTCAGTACAATTAAAGTGCTCTTTCTGTACATTTAATCTGCCTTCACCGTACAGTTAATCTGACCTTACTGTACAGTTAATCTGCCCTTACTGTACTGTTAATCTCCCTTAACCGTACAGTTAATGTGCCCTTATTGTACAGTTAATCTGCCTTCACCGAACAGTTAATGTACCCTTACTGTACAGTTAATCTGCCTTCACCGTACAGTTAAAGTTCCCTTACTGTACAGTTTATCTGCCTTCACCGTACAGATAAAGTTCCCTTACTGTACAGCTAACATGTCTTCACTGTACGGTTTATATGCCTGCACTGTACGGTGTACGGTTCATTTGTCTACACTGTATAGTGTATGGTTCATATGTCTACAACTGTATGGTTTATTTGTCTACGCTGTACAGTTAATGTGTCTTCACTATATGTTTAACAAACCAGCACTGTACGGTTGAAAAGCCTCCTTTGTACGGTTATTTAAACTGCAACTACCCTGTACGGTATTTTATATAAAAAAAAACTAATTTTTGAGAGTTTCTCACCATATTTTCCCAGCAGTAACCTAGCACGTTAGTAAAATGGCGGTAAATTTGACCAAGAAATGACAAATAATTATCACAGTATGAGATGCTGTGTTATACGCTCAGGGAAACTGAGATCCAAACTTTTATTGAATACTTGATCTCAATATTCAATATTAAATTAGAGGATCAATACTACTTGATTCCTCAATTAAAGTTATCCTTGCAGGGTATCACTATCACTGGATAGCGAAAAAATGAATTAAATTAATCCGTTGATTGCATAATGTTGAGATTCATATTTATTATTTTTATATTATTCATAATCGATAGTTTTATAAATCGTTGATGTATGTACTTTAAATCAAATCATTTATTTGGCCATAATTTTCGTAGCTCGCATAGGGTTATTTTATAATATTTTATATTTTTTTAGAAAACGTTTTAACAGATTTCGAAAAATGTGAGTGGTTCGCGGCATTCGTAGATAGTTGCGCAAGCGACAAGAGAAATAATCAAATTCAAAACAAATTAATTAAAAAATATTATAAAATATAAACTATATACAAATGAGGCGAAAAATAATCGATGACTATAGGTTGTAATATCTGAATGATTTCTTAGAAATTAAATTGATTTTTTACGGTCAAAGTCATATGTTGCAATTTTCTGAATTTGTATGGGCGCTAAGTTATTCGGTATGAGACGTCTTTAACAATTTTCTCCATATAGAGCAACAGATAGAAGTAAGATTATTAGCTATCAAAAGCACTTTTTTATCGCATTAAGCCTATACCCCCTTTCATTTTTCGCTAACACTCCCTTTAACCCTGTATTCTATGCGGGAGAAAATGATCTTATAAAGCATCTATTGTGTTTGTAAAAAAGTTTGAATCATGTAGATAAAGGTATACTCTATACAACTCTATAAAGATAAAGGAATTGAGTCTTTGCCACAAACTATAATTATCTAATCCCAGCATCTTTGCAATCTAATTTGTAGACCTTCGATTTTTCAAACTATGAATTCTGTTATTACTAAATAAACTAAGTTTAAAATATCAAAGGTTTACTAAGTCAGGTTACTAAGATATAGGAATTAGAAAATTTGAACTTGTGGCAAAGACTCAATTCCTTTTAAGGGACTTTCGAGTTCTTTAAATGACATTTTGTGTACAGTTCCTTTCATAACATTTTGTGTACAGTTCCTTTCATTAAAATCTGTCTAATTACTAGTTCCTATTTATGCCTAGATGAATACCATTTGCATTTCTTCTTGTTCTGCGGTTTATTCAGGCATTAAAGGGACGGGTAGCGTAACTGAAGAATGTCAAATAATCACAAGAAAATTCGTTGTTCACGTTAAACTAAACTAAATAACACGTAAGTCCTACACCTCTAATTGAAGAGATATTGACAAGAACAAAAGGTCTAATGTAAAACCAAATTAATATTATTTTCTCATGCTTGTTTGTAAAATCAAAACTAGAGGAGCTATGAGCTCACAAAGTCAAATTATACTTTCTTCCTCGGTCTAGTTTACACTTTACAGTGGATTAATTATACTTTAGGAAAAGGAATTTTGTTATAAATTTAAGGTTCACACAGAATAACGTCAACTATCCCTTTAAAACAGGAAAATTTCGCAGATTTTTTACAAGAAACCATCTTGTTAAAACTTTACAGCTAAACTAACACCGTAATAACTGTAGTTCTATAGATTTTGAAATCATGGTGGATCCGGAGAAGAAGATTCCGCCCTTTCTATTCATTGAGTTCCTCTCCCTTATATATATTTTAACAGGGATAGCAACAGAATACTTCTGCGACGAACTGAGAGTCCAAATTTCTCAAGGTTAATTTTGCTTCTCTGCCCCCGTAAAATCAATCATGTTAAACTGAAATTTTCAAAATTTTCTTGAAAAGCTCTTGAGTTTTGAAATTCTAATTTGAAATCAAATAAACTTGATTGTAATTACTTGAACGTAACAATCAAGGTCAAAAGGAAATCACCAAGTCGTAATTTCACATAAATTTGAGTGTCTGTATTAGAATCTAAGGGGGTCCTATATACAGTCGTCTCTGAACCCTGTCTAGGTGTCTTAATTGTTGAAATCTATGAAATTCAATGTATGGAACGTTAAAAAATGTCATCATGAGTGGTCAAGTGTATACTGTATAATTTATTAGATGATTTACAGAAATACTAGATTTCTCCGTCATATGATATCTTTCAATAATTTCAATTATCGGAAATTCTGGAACCTCTAACCTATAAAATGTATCTACTGCAGTGAAAACCAGAAAACTGTCGAATAGAAAGACGACATTATAGTAATACTTAGTGTATTTGAAGTTTTTACAAGGAAATAGGTTTACCATGGTAACCTATTAAATCAGTTATTAAGTTAAATGGGTCTATTTACATTTTCTATGTTTCATGTTCATTGGACCATTTAAAGTAGTAACTTGAGTCTGAAAGTCGTCTTTCTATTCTAGAGTTTTCTTGTTCTCACTGTATCTATCAGTATTACACCTTCCCCATGTTGTTCTATTTAATTAATTGTTATGAATCAAGTTTTTGTATATTTTAAATTTTCTAAATAGATTTCTGCATTGAAAAACATTAATAAAAGTAAAAATGTATAAATATGCAAACAAATATTAATAAGTTTAGGCAATCTCTCTTTTTAAACTTTTGATAAAAATATTAAAGTAACTAAAAATTTAAAGATACAATTACATTATTAAAGGGAACATTATTAGAATTTTATGTGAACATCTCCATTAAAAAAAAAAAAAAAATAGGTGAATTTCGTATTCATAATTAACGTTAAGCTTTAAACCTTGATGTTGAAGTGTTTAATTCTGAAAATTTGCTCCTTTTTTTCCGTTGAAAACTTCCACAAGAACCTTTGATCATATCAGAGTAACAACATTTAAACATGGATAAACATGGTTCATTCTTGTTTAGCTATTTAGGGTACATGTTGTGAATCGGAAAGGAATGCCAAAACAGAGAATCACTAAAAAATAATTCTACAGTTCCATCATGTATATATTATATATATATATATATATATATATATATATATGTATTTATTATGCATCTAAATTGTATATATAGATGTATTTATCAATGAATGTTTGAGAAAGTCTGAACCCTCCCCCCCACACCACCCTGAGAAAAAAAAATTAAAGAACCGGAAGAAGTGATTAGATCCTATATCCGTCTTGATTATATACTAGCTTACTCACATTAAATGCCTAAGGGTGCTAATGTTAAAGTCGATTTATAAAATGTGTTGAAATTTTTAGAAAACAGTAATTACATTTTAGATATTTTGATCATAATAATAATAATAATACGCATATTATTACTTAACAAATTACACACAAAAACTACAATTACAAGCAAATAGTTTTATTAGAAACTGTTTAATTAATTAAGTTAAATTAGTTTCTCTACAACAAGGTTGTATAATTAGGTCAGTTACTCTCGATGCGCTCCAATTTATCTTAGGAGACGACATTTTCCGTACATTGATGCGCATCGAGAGAAGGTAACCTTATTATGCAACCATGGTTTATATAATGTCCAATAGATGTGTCTCATGCTCATTGGACTAAAAAAAGTAAAAGATTGTGTCTAAAAGTCGTCTTTCTATATCAGAGTTTTCTAATTATCACTGAAGTTAGACCATTTTTGCACCTATAAAAGGAGCTGCATGCGTAGTTTCAGTTGACCCTAGATGTAAAGATGATAATGCCTGATTTACAACGATACCCTTAAAAGCTTGATCTGATCAATTGAATTAGTTATGTATGCAGTTAATAATTTAAAAAACTGCATGGTTTTTGTACCAAAATTGTCTTGCACATTTATACTGAAGGAAAACATATATAATTTCAGAGTTAAACACTTTAAACCTAAAACAACGAGGTTATCTTCCACATTATTGATCAGATAAAGGTTTCAAGTGTACCATTGTCATCATTTCATGGAGGGTAACTTTAGTCTCTCACCTCTATATATATATATATATATATATATATATATATATATATATATATATACCTGTTTAGAGTGGAGGAGAGGATACAAGATGGAGGTCAAGAAGGCTGGCCAAGGGAGATCCGTCAGGAGAGAGGATTCCAGGTACAAAACAGCTGATTCACAGAACCAAGAAGTTTGGAAAGGGAGATAGAAATGACGCGGCCCGCCCTACGTGTTTCTTTCTTTTTCAAATAATTTAATAAACCATTTAAAGACTATTCAAAGGAAACAACTACATTTAATCTGGAAATCGTCTTATTTTCAGAATTTCAGGTCGTCTTTGCAGTCCTATCATTTGATGGAAACCCATGTACAAGACTAGTAAAATGTCCACTGTATACCACGATCTGTTTCAGTCGCATTTTTCTAAACATATTTCAAAGCATGTTTTTAATTTACAATTTAATGTTCCAGATCAAAGTTCAGCTTATCTGACCACGTTATCAACTGGAGGAATAGTGGAAAACTCTACCAGTCGATCCAAGGACCTGGAGAAAGATTTAGCTGAAGAATCCAGCAGTGTAAAGATATCTGTAACCCTTCCAACCAAATATGGTGTCTCTGGCAGTAAAATTAAAGCACAAAGATTGGTAAGTATTATTCAATATTTTCCCAATATATTTCAACTTGGAATAGCCAGTTTTTTTATTTGGATTCTATCTTTGGTATTTAATTTATCAACCTTTAAACTTACGGAGTTATCTTTTTTTTTACTTTTTTTTAAACACATCGACCGACAAAATAATAATAAATTATAATATTTTTAATTGGTCAAATTGTTATCGAAAGTCACAGTTAGCTTGCCGGAATAAAGGACCAATGTATCAGAGTGATCATCATTCTTTAGAAAATTTACATGGATCAAAAATATTTAAAAATACTTTGAGACCCTAGAATAGGTAAAACATGTGGTGGTATAAAAAAACTGTGTTCTCCTTATAATGTGAAGAAATATATCATTTTAAAAAACAAAAAATAAAATCAAATCAACTAAGAACGAATTCGAACATCATTTTACTTTAATTTCATTGCACTGCATTATTTTTTTTTCAGGATATATATCGTGAGAGGAAAGAGCAGATAAGTAAAACCTGCCAAAGGTTTGGACTCGGACGGTTTGCTCAGGAACCAAGTTCTCCAGGCTCAGAGTTGGTAGACGGTATTAACTTATACCAGGAGATGGAGGGAACCTTAAACCGACCTCTTGAGAACTCCCTGATTTGGGAGAAAAACTGGCATTTATTATACTGTTGGATCCACAAGGTGGCTTCCAGTTCATGGAGTCAAATCTTTTTTAACATTGTAGGAAAACAGGTGAATATTGGTTTACATTGTGAACACCTTGGATAGTTTTAAACATATCTCAACCCTACTATCTCTCTCTCTAACTTGAATCGCAATCCTACTCTCTCTCTATCTATAATCCCAACTCTACTCTATGTCTAACTAGAATCCCAACCCTACTCTCTCTCTAGCTAGAATCCCTATCCTAATCTCTATCTAACTAGATTCCCAATCCTACTCGCTCTGACTAGAATCCAAACCTTACTCTCTCTCTCTAACTAGAAAACCAACCATACTCTCTCCTTACTTGAATCCCAATCCTACTCTCTCTCTAACTAGAATCCCAACCATACTCTCTCTCTCTAACTTGAATCCCAACCCTACTCTTTCTCTAACTAGAATCCCATCCATACTCTTTCTCTAACTAGAATCCCAACCCTACTCTCTCTCTAACTAGAATCCCAACCCTACTCTCTCCTTCACTAGAATCCCAATCCTACTCTCTCCTTCACTAGAATCCCAATCCTACTCTCTCTCTAACTAGAATCCCAACCCTACTCTTTCTCTAACTAGAATCCCAACCCTACTCTCTCCTTCACTAGAATCCCAATCCTACTCTCTCTCTAACTAGAATCCCAACCATACTCTAATCCCAACCATACTCTCTCTCTCTAACTAGAATCCCAACCCTACTCTCTCTCTAACTAGAATCACATAATTTTCTTCACAATATATTTCACCAAAAACTTGGCATCATCAGAAAAGCAAAAAACTAAAATAATTTCAGACAATTTTTTAATAAACAAAGAAAAAAATTAAAATTTTTATAACTTTATACAATAAGGAAATTGTCAAATGAATAATGTCAAAACAAATAAAACTTGAACACCAAAAAGCAAGGAAATAGGAAGACGGCTTTTAGACTCAAGTTACGACTTTAAATCGTCAAATGAACATATATAGACACCGCCATTGCACAGTGTAAACGGGTTTCATTTCACAAAATAACCGATTTAATAATTTTAGTAAAACTATTTGCTTTGCAACACCATCAAATACACTTTGGTATTGTTTCAATGTCGTCTTCCTATTCCACAGTTTTCTGGTTCTCACTGTATCTTGACTGCTTGATCATTAAGAAGAGTATGATTAGGATAATGATGATTATTTTGTTGATGATTGTCTGTTCTGATGAATGGATATATGAGATGATGAAAATATTTATTATAGATAAAAATAAAGAAGAATAATATCTGATTGTTTAGCTCCCTATGACCCGGTTACACGAGGCTGCGCAATACTTCCAACCAAATGCCGTGGACATTTCTCTCGCCAAGACGACATCACTCGTGTTTACTTTTGTGCGGCATCCTTTTGAACGTTTGGTTTCCGCATTTCGTGATAAATTTGAACTATCCAGAAAGTACGGCTATGTATACAGCCGGTATGCTGGTAAGATTCTAAACCAGCCGGCCGGGATAAACTCCCGGCGGCCGACCTTCAAGGAGTTCGTGAAGTATCTGCTGATAGAGAGACTGGAGGAGTACAACGATCACTGGTTGCCCTACTGGCTCCACTGCCACATGTGTGAGATGGAGTACGATGTGATTGGGAAATTGGAAACCTGGAACGAAGATGTAGAATTTATTACAGGTATGGCATGGGATCAATGGAGTTAATGTGATTAATAAAATTTATGGGATTAATGGGAATAATGGGATTAATGGAATTAATAACCATTGGATCCCCGGGACATTAAGCAAAAGTTTTTCAAAAAACAGAAACTTAAAAAAAATATTATTTTTGTTTCAAAGAAGGGCAAAGCTAAGCGTTTTATAAATCATAAATAATTTTAGAGCTCAATTTTCATATTTTAATAAAGCTTACAGCGTACGTACAGATAAATCAAGTTGCGCTTCGAACCCCTTAAATATTGAATATACTTACAATGTTTGTAACTTTTTTATCTTAAAAATACGTTCGGTTAGGACCTTAAAAAAACTTTTTTTATTTGAAAATCTTCCATTAAAAGACAATTTTTTTGCATATCTTTCTTGTTTTGTTTTAAATCATTATTTTTAACTTTTATTGTATTTAGAAATTAATTGATCTCAACATCTTTATTTATGGAAAAATATTACTATAAAATGTCTTTAAGATTTCAATGTCTGAGGATTTAGATATTTAAAATTTTTTTATTTTATTACAAATAAAATATTATTTAATCGATAAAAAAAAATTTGTTTGTTGTTTAAAATCTTGCACAATTATGCTTTGTTTTTTTTGACAAAGTTAAAAATAATTTTTTTTTGTACATTAGGAGTCAGTGGACTAAGCAGTACAAATATCACAATACCATGGACAAATCGACGGAACAATAGTCAAGATCTGGCTTTAACATATTTCTCATCATTAGACCTGGATACTGTAGGTCGTCTTTACACCATCTATCGGCCTGATTTTGAAATGTTTAATTATAAAGTCCAGCCATATTTTGATCTATTCCGTCCTTAGATTGAGTACGTATAAATTAAAAAAAATGTATTAATAATATTAAAAAAATTGGTTTTAAACTTTTGCGTAATTAAGATCTACGACGACATAAATACGCATAATTTAGAATCAGCCATTTATAGGGTAACCGACGAATAATAAAAAATCTAAAGACTAAACAGTTTACAGATTTTTAATTGAATTTTGGTTTTACTCTTTTTTCATTCCTAGCTTGCCAAACGATATTACATCATTTAGTTAAAAAAACGTAATTGAAATCGCATTTTAAGGTCGTCATTAAAGTTTCCCCTCTTGTGGGTCACCCTGTATAAACATATCCCGGTTAAGCATTCATGTAAAATTGTTTTTTATAATTGTACAGTTCCGTTGTTCGATGCCACCACCGATTACACAGATAAGACAAAACATACAGATTTTAATGCATGCCCTGAACCCTTTTTCCAAGAAGAAACCAAAACATGTTGTATATGAGACGTAATATTGAAATTATGAAAAGCATTTTTGCGACATTATGAAGATTTTTACGATGTTATAATAACTATTTGTTTGCGACATTATCAACATAAAGTTTGCGAAATTTTAATCATTTTTGCTACATTTTGAACTTTTTTAAAGACATTATAAACATTTTTGCGACCCATTCAATTTAGATTTTCGAAACATGAACATTTTTGCGAAATCATAAAAATGTTTGGGACGCTATCAACATTTTGGCGATATTATTATCATTTTTGCGAAATTATTAATATTTTTGCAACATTATAAACATCAATTTTGCGACATTATAAACATTTTTGTAAAATTATAAACATTTTTTCAACATTACAAAAATTTATAATGGTTCGGTATTTGCTAAAAATAAACAAAATGTCCGATTAATTTTCATTTTAATTTTTGTCTTTTCTGTGTAATCCATTTTTTTATTTACATTCTTAACTTATGATTATTCATTCTTATTAAATCAATAATAATTTTCATGTTTTTATAAATTATTATAATTATTTGTAGTTTTCGTATATTTTTGCTCAAGTAAAACATCCAAGATATACGGGGATAACCATAAAACTCTGAAGAAGACGACTTTCAGAATCCTCTGAGTAGGCGACCCAGCAATTTTTTCTTGGTAAAACAGACCCATTTAACTATATTAGTGATTTAATAAATGTAAAACTAATTGCTTTCTAACATCAAATACACCTTAGTATTGCTATGTCGACTTCCTATTCCAATGTTTTCTGTTTATCGCTGTATAATGTCACTATAACAAGAAATTGTCAAAAAAAAGAACAGCTGAAGTAATCTGTAATTTCAGAGTTTTCCAAATGTTATTGGAAGGGAAACGAAGTTTGATGTCGTCTTTAAATTATCATCTTCTAATGATAATCGTCACTAAAACTTTCCATTTAGAATGCATTTAGTTTCTATATTTTTTCTTTGAAAAAAAAATTCTTATCATATTGATAAATTTTTAGAAACTCAATTTTCAAGTTTTAGATATCAATGTACATACATACAATTTTATATGTATATAGTACAAATGAACAAGTTTTAAGTTGAGTAAAATTAAAGAAATATAAATAAACATAATTTGTTGTGCTTCTTTAAATTTTATATCTATAGTTTTAATAAATCTTACATGTTTTCCTGCAGAAGAAATATGCAAGTCACAAAATTGAAAATAATCAGTTTTCCAAATTATAAACATAACGTCTAATTCATATTTTATTCGTTAATTGTAAATCGGGTTTGTCAACTTTGCATAGAGGGTCACTTAACATTACGAGGCAGTACAGTCCCTTTAACTCGTCAAGCCAATAATCAACCTTGTGTTTCAGGCCGATTTAGTCAAGATCTCCCTATTCTATAGTTTATATAAATGATATCTTTAGAATCAATCCCTGCACTTTGCTCTGTGTTAGAGTTACATCTACGATTTATCCAAAAAGGATGAGACTGTGAAGACGACAGGAATGGTTTATTTAGTGATTTTTTTTTGCATAAAGTTTAAAGTTTAAAATTGCAGGGAATCAGGAAGTATAGGAAACGAAGTTAAACCTTAAAGAAATCTAAGGAATTTTATGAAATCACATTAGCATTACTAGAGAACTTTTTTTTAGACTTATAAGAAATTTTTTTTCTAAAACAATACTGTAGATATAGAGAGCAGTACAAATGCACATATTAAACTATTTTGCTCCTGTAATGTCTAGGGTATGTTAGAAAGAATAGAAATTATGATAATGATAATGACAAGCTACAATGTTTTACAAAAACGTTTAATTTCTCAAAAATATAAAAAATGTTCTCCCGGAAAATACGCCTTGTTGCTCTACATAGCTGTTTCTATACGTTGGATTTCTATAAGGTTTGACTTCATAGGAAACAAACAGAATAGATTCCGGAATAGTTCTCTCTGAAGTCTCACTCTTTGTGTATAACACTGTATCAATATCAATTCCACCGGAAAAACGTCCTAAGCTCCCAGATAAAACAAGGAACTGATTACTCGCCTCATAATTTAACCTGATGATAATGATAGTGTACCTTATACCTAACGACATATTTTTGATTTCTCTTCCTAGAACGGGAACCTTGAAGGAAAAGATACTTTAAATATATGATATATCAAACTCTTTACAAAATTACATCCTCCTTAAAATAGCAATTTGTATGAAGTAAAACAAATATGTATGTAGGATTAATTAGGTGATGCCTATAATATCCTTCTGTTGAGCAGATTAGAATTATCCATTTATTCAATTATTCACTTTATCCATCCCGTCATACTTTTTTATTCATTCTCATTTTCATTCATTTTTTCATTTAATTTTATCCTGCACTCTTGTATCTTTATGTCATGGTATCCATGTATTCCTGTGTTCTTGTATCCTTGCAATCCTGTATCCGTTTCCTTGTATATCCTTGTATCCTTGCAATTCTGTATCCCTGCTTCCTTAAGTATCCTTGTATCCTTGTATCCTTGGATCCTTGTATCCTTGTATCCTTGTATCCTTGTATATTTGTATCCTTGTATCCTTGTATTCTTGTATCCTTGTATCCTTGCATCCTTGTATAATTGTATCCTTGTATTCTTGCATGTCTATATTCCTCTTGTATCCAATTTTATCCCTGTATCCTTGTATCCTTATATTTCTATTGCAATATGACCTAGCAATATGTATCCCATGAGACCCTCAGGCCTAGCGTCTAGACTCATATTTTTGCTATGGAAACCAGCTTGGATTTCTTAAAATAATATACAGGGCTACCCACAAAGGATGAGACTGCAAAGAAAACTGTCCGGAATTTTGACTGGCTATTTCCATGTATACATCATTTTCTGAAACTGTAAACTTGTTTCATTTTTCACCAAATTATCAAATAAGTCATTACCAACGAGGTTATAGTGTATATAGTGCTGATGTACGCTAATTCTTTACTAACTGTATAGCCATCAACTATACCGAGAGCGTACTGGATATTTGTTTATCATAAGTAGATTCTGGCCTAACCTATAGTTTATCAATATTAGTAAACAGTTGTAAGTGTACCATATTTTAGGAAGAAGACTCAATTCAAGCTAGGTCCGTCACGGTCGTCTTTACATTCCCCTTCTTTTCTGGGTAACCCAGCATGTAGAATACAAAAGTACATGTAGCCGTATACGAAGGGGATAATAGGGTAACCAGCACTCCCAGCACAAATTATAAGACATTGGAGACAATTATATTCATTATTTTTTCTTTCGTTCATGGTTCCCTGCAGGGTGCAGCTGCAGTAAAGTTGTGTATAATACAAGGGCTGTGATCGATGCAGAAGACTATTTATATTTTTATTTGGTTCTATTATAAGGTAAAATTGTTTTTAACTAAACAAAATGTATGAAACTATCTAATAGAGACCATTTTGCAGAACTTGAGGCCCAACTTCATACTGTGGAATCCATAAAATTGTGGAAAATGAAGACGACTGTCAGACTCATATTATGATTTTAAACATTCCAACAAACATGTGTTTTTAAATAATTTAACTTGTACATTTTTGAAGAAGGACATATTTCTCGATAAAAACCTAATAGTTCAACTATGTACGATCCTTCAGAAGTTAACGTTAAAAAAATCGATAAAGCACTAATCCAATTCCAATTCAACCGTTTTATGAATTCCATAGTATGGAGTTGGGCCTCTTTACAATTCTGTAAAATGGTCTCTATTAGATAGTTTCATACAAATTGTTGTGATAAAAATTTGGTCAAGAACAATATTAGCTAGCAATAGAACTGAGTAAAAATATAAAAGTCAAGATATACTGGATAATTCTGTAAGATATTGCAACTATATATTTAGGTCTAATCCAAGAGATGGATTATTAGACACGTTCCAACCATTATTGTTCGTCTGTATTTTACAATTTTACACTTGTTCATATTAATTTAAATCTAAACAAAATCATGGAAAGTTTGTTTTCTTTACAAAGAAATTTTCCTATTATCCTTTCATCTACACCCCTGCTATCCTGTTATCCTGCTGTCCTTCTATCATGCTATCCTGCTATTCTGATATTCTGATATCCTGCTATCCTGCTATCCTGTTATCCTTCTATCCTGCTATCCTGCTATCATGCTATCCTGTTATCCTGTTATCCTGCTATCCTGCTATTCTGATTTCCTGATATCCTTCTATCATGCTATCCTGCTATTCTGATATCCTGCTATCCTGCTTTCATGCTATCCTGCTATCCTGTTATCCTGCTATCCTGCTATTCTGATTTCCTGATATACTTCTATCATGCTATCCTGCTATTCTGATATCCTTCTATCATGCTATCCTGCTATTCTGATATCCTGCTATCCTTCTATCATGCTATCCTGCTATCAAGCTATTCTGATATTCTGATATCCTGTTATCCTTCCATCATGCTATCCTACTATTCTGATATCCTGCTATCCTGATATTCTGCTATTCTACTTTTCTGACATCCTGCTGTCCTGCTATCATGCTGTCATGCTATCCTGATATCCTGCTTTCCTACTATCATGCTATTCTGACATTCTGACACCCTGCTATCCCGCTATTCTGATATTCTGTTGTCCTGCTATCCTTCTATCATGCTATCCTGATATTCTGCTATTCTACTATTCTGACATCCTGCTCTCCTGCTAACCCGGCATTCTCCTAACCCTTCTATCCTGCTCTACCCTGCTTTACTTCTTTCCTACCATTCTGCTATTCGGTTGTCCTACAATCCTTCTATCCTGCAATCCTTCAATCCTACTATCCTTCTATAATATTTTCCTGTTATCTTTTTATTATGTTATCCTTCTATCATACTCTCGTACTATTCTTTAATCCTACTATCCCATACTCTTACTGCTTTCCACCTCTTGAACTATCTGAGATAAGTTTTGATTTGTGGAGAAGAAAACAGTGTGTAGAGGATGGAGAGGATTGAGAGAATAGAGGGAGGGGACCGAGATATGGGGACATCCATGTTATTCTAACACTAGAATATATTAATCAAATCTGAAGAGAAAGTAGGGGAAATAAAAAGAATTCTCCCTGGTTTTACCAAGGGAATTGTGAAGAATATTAGTAGAGATGGAATGAGACGAGTAATGCGTCCAAAGATGATTAAAGGGCAATCAAGTAATGTCAAACTTAATTCAGAGTTCTTTAAAATTTTACAATTATTCCAATTGCATTTTTCTGTTCATTTGTTCTAAAATGTGTTCATTTGAACTTGATCGAATTTGGTAAAATTATGTATGGAGTGGAACTCGATGAAGCGGTTAATTGAATAATATGAAGAAAACTACTCGAAACTAAAATAAAGACGACATTAAGCAGAATATATTTACACGAGCTGCAGAACAAAAACTTTAACAGGTAAAAATATATGAAATCACAGCCAGGAAAACAAAACACGTAAAATATGGAATAAAATATTAATATAATATTTGAATAATTTAGTTTTTATTAAAGGGACTGCATACGTTGTTGTAATTTCATGTGCACCTCCATTCAAGGAGGGCTAAACCGATTCACAATGGTATTGTTTGAACCTTATTAGGTCAATAATATGGAAAACATAGTTGTTTTTATATATGGAAAAGTGTAACTCTCTCATTTTCTTCTATTGCTCCTATATCAAGAAACCCGCAACTCCAGTAACTATTTATAGAGAAATTTGTAATTGATAATAATTAATTTCTAGAAATAAAAACAAGACTAACGCCATTTTTTTCTAAGACTAAGGTATAATTTTGAATCTTAATTAAAATCCAAAAATTTTAAAAATCACTTAAATCTATGATAGCACGTTAAATTAAGAAGTTCTGTTATTTAGCACCTCTTCGTATTCTTCGCAAAACAAGGTTTGTAAAGAAAACAGTTAAAATTTTGTTTTGAATAGAGGATTACCAGATTAATTTTATTAACTACAGCTCTTAGAACATTTATTTTTTTCTCACTTATAAAATATTTTATAAAGAACAACGTGATATAAACCCTTTGCATTAGCTTGCAGATATTTGACACATTCAATTCAAACTTTTGATTTAAAACTTGCTTTTAGAAAACTACAAACTCTAGAAGTTTTAATATCTATATTTAACATTTTGTGAAAAATCTCATAAAATTCTTCTTCAAATTTCATTTTAGGTTAGAACATTTGGTATTCTCCATTCAAAAAGGGAGATTCGTCAATACATTTATAAAATGTCAGATATGTCCAAATGCCGCAACTCCAAAACTTTTTCTTAACGTTGCGCATTTCTCCGTCTACAGGTTAAACTGGGACCTGTAGCGGAGAGCACTAAATTTGTCCTGATCCAACTGATTTGAGGACTCCGTCCTGCTATCACTATCACTATCATACTCCTCACTCTCAGAGTATCTTCGCCTGGAGCCACGCCTCTTACCAGCCTCTTCGGAACGCCCCCTGCCTCCCTCCTCCTAGAACATAAACTATTTACAATTAAATGAAATCTTTAAACAAGAGACCAGCCCATGGGCCGTGGGTCTAATTAATCCTGAAAAGAGAACCTATAAATGAAAAATAAGATGGTTTATTTTTAATCTTTAGATAAATTGAAAAGAATTACTTGCCAAAAACTTTAATTTGATAATCCCTACATCACCTAGCCGAAGTCATAGTCATAGTCAAGGTCTACGATGACATCATATTTCAAAGTTATGTATTTGATTAGTTCCCTAATCCCCTTTAATCAAAGGTTTAGATTTTACCACTGCACTAAAATGTTTTTTTATAGTTAGGTATAAAAGTGTAGAGAGGGAGCTAGGGGAGAGGGAACATACTGCTATAATCCAGTTTATAACAACAACAAACTCCAATACAATCTATTAAAGGTGTTTGCTTTTAGCAAAATAGAAAACAGCCTGCAACACTGGAACTAATTTTAGAACAGGGTGTCCCAAAAAATACGATAATTTCGAGAAACGAACTAAACACATATAATTGTGTAAATAACAAAAAAGTGCAGACAAGGGTGTATAAAAGAGAGACTGACTATCTATTTATTTATTTATTTATTTATTTATCTATCTATTTTTCTATTTATTTATTTATATATGGAAACCCAGCGACGAAATGCAGGAAAAGCTACGAAGTTTTTGGTTTTTTGTAAAAAAAATCTTAAAACTAGTTCTAGAAAAATATCTGTGTTCTGTGTCTAGTTAGAACAAAATATAAAATTGCTTCAAATTGTGAAAAGTCTGAAAGGAAAAATAAGAACTTGTTTGACATTAAGTTTTGTTTATTTTCCGAGGAATTCGATAAGAACCAAGCATTTATAAACATCGAGTTCTGCGGTTTAGAAAACCATAATTTATACATTTTTGCATTAAATAAACATAATAAATAAAAGGCCAATGCATATTCAATGCATCTTTTAAAAAAAGCATGTTTTTCTTTAGAGTTCTTTATAAAAAGGGCAATTTGGCATTTTTGACTGAAAAGGATAAAGTAGAATTTAAATAATGTATTAAATCTTATTGAAACCAAAAACATATTCTGAAATCAGAATAAAAATTTCGAGGAGGCGGTGGGGAGAAGAAAAATATGTTTAATATTTTGTCGATGGTCGGAGTAGTGTTCCAGAAAAAGAATATTTGACTTGAAGAACCAGGAGAATATTAAACAGTTATAGTAACTACACAGGGAGGGGAGTACTGCATGGAGTGAATGTACACACTAACATTTAGATTAAGAAGAAGAGAAAGGCAATTAGGATAATCAGGATTAATATGAGGATTAGGAAAGAATCAGAAAATATGAATTATGGAAAGAAGAAACAAAAACTTTTATGAACTGAGCTTTAAGGGATTGAAAATATTAAAATTTGCTTAATACATAATGGCTTTTTTCAGACTTATTTTTTTTAGTTAATGAAAATGTGATTGTTTACGTAAAGGAACTGAGTTCTTTCCGAAAAATCAAATTTTCTAATCCCAATATTTTTACAACCTTATGTTTAAATGGCACTGTAGACTGCCACACAATAATTACGATGATACAGTATATACCCTTTATGTTAATAATGATGCTAACTCCAGTACCTGCTGTTGAAGTTGCTGTTGTTGTTGTTGTTGTTGCTGATGTCTGTGTCTACCCAGTGTATCTCGATCTATTTGTCGACCGATCGTATCCCGATCTTTCTGTCGACCAAGGGTATCCCGTCCCATAGTTTCCATTTGTCGGTGATAGTCAGAGAGGCGCAGTGTTTCATTTCTCCCGAGCGTATGTTGTCTCCCACCCGGAGTTAAGGTTTCTGTCCTGCCCAGAGTATGCTGTCTACCCCCGACCGGAAGGGTTTGAAGGTTTGATGTTGCATACGGAGAAATATCGCTTGCCGTCTCAGGGATCTTTTCTACCTTGGATCTTACAGCCTAAGGAACAGAAATTAAAATGTTTTATAAAAACCGGGGTTTTGTAAATCAACAGGGTGACAAACAAAAAATGGGAGTTAAAAGATAGTTTCGAGATCATCTTTCAGTTTTTAAAAAAAGTTGCGAATATATTTGTTACAACTATGTTCTAAATTAAATCTCTGTTTCCTTTTTGAGCTGTTCAATGGTATCAACTTCATACCCCCCACTAGAGAAGGGTGTAAGGGCGGGGGTTTTCCTCTGTACAGTCGCATAGAACTGCTGGTCCAAGTTGTGTCGATTTTCCATAGTCGAGGATTTAGGGATTTCATCATATCTTCCAGGACGCTTAGATACTTGCTCTAAAATCAAATAGAAGGTTTACAAAAATTAAGTGAGGGATATAAATGGGTTGTGTACACTTTTAAGAAAGCTCAGAGCCGAAAATTTAAAAGAGAATTGGTTACCGAAACTCCTGAGTTTTCTTTTTGGTGTATTTACGTTTGTATAAATAAGATTAAGAAAAAAAAATGAACATAAAATAACCATGATTTTTTTCATCTATTAATTGTCTTATCCTATTCGTGAAACCCGGTTTACGATACCTTGTCTTAAGTTTTGGGTTCAGGAGCTAGATTTCGTAAATTGTCGAACACCGTGAGTGTATAGTAAGTTTTAAATCAAATTTTCTTCACAGAAACATCTGTTTCAAGTAAAAATACTCCTTTCCCCCCTTTTCTTCGCAAGCTCACCCTTTATTATCAAAGTTTAAGCCAAAAATACTATTTCATTTTAAGTCTAAAAGAAAAATTATATTAAGAATTTTAAAAAAAGTTAAATTTCTTTCCGCTTATAGCTTACAAAATATAAGACAAAAACTTATTGGTTTTTCTCAAAATACAAAAACTTAATGGTTCTTCTCTGAATACAAAAACTTGCCGGTTCTTCTCAGAAAACAAAACCTTTTGGGTTCTTCTCAAATACAAAATCTTGTTTGTTCTTCTCGAAATACCAAAACTTGCTAGTTCTTTTAAAAATACAAAACTTGTTTTTTCAAAATACGAAGGTTTTTTTCAAATTACAAAAACTCACTTTTTCTAATACAAAAACATACACCCAGAGAAGCCAGCACCAGACAGAGAACTGAGATGAGTATTGAGATGGAAGCCCTAAACCCTAACCCGGAGAGGACGGATGCAAGACCTCCTCTGGGTAGGGTTGGAGCCCCCAGAGTATCCAGGGTAATGAACTGATAAATCCTTGTGGCTGAACCTGCATGGTTGTGAGCTGTAACCTACAACAACAACATCATTAACGGATGATTTATTGATTGATAAAATTTGAAGGATGCCGGCTAGGAGGATGGTAAATAAATGGATGAAAGGAGAGAATTAATGGACGGAGACATATGAAATATTTTTCTCTTCAACCAAAATTTGTCAGAATTGGTTGGAGAAAACGTTTTGGTTCTTTAGGAGAAGTCTTTTTTACACTTTTTAGATTTAAAATTGAGTTGAAATTTCTTTTTGTTAATCCATCACGGTAAGGACTTGAGTCTTTGTCACAAACTACGATTTTAAAATTCTTTTATCTTTGTAACCTGGTTTATTCTAACAGAATTCATATTTTGAAATATCAAAGGCTAAGAAATCGTTTTGAAAAGATATATGGATTAGAAAATTTTTAGAGTTGATGGTATGAATAGTTTTTTTTATATATCAAGTTTTTTGCAAACGCACAGCACTAAATGTAAAGAAAATTCTATATTATATCATATCATATCATATCAACGTACAATGTATCGACTCAACAGTCAACAATCAAAATGCTCGTTCAATTCTTGGGATTTTAAACTTTTAGTTTAGGATTTTAAGGAATTTTTGGAAAAAAATCCGGATTAACATTAAAAAACCCTTAAACTCCCTTTATTTTAATTGTGATTTGCACTTCTCTTACCTTAAGATCATAAGCTGTTGATTGAGAAAGCCCTCTAATGCTGTATGTATCCTGGATCTCAAGATTGTTTGTCACTAAAACAAAAATATATTATTGAATAAATACTTAAATATTTTTCAGATGAACACATGTAGTACAAAGCTTCAAAATATGTCTAAAGTTGGCAAAATTTGTGTGCAGAGTGTTCTAGTAAAAATGAAAATTAAGAGGCGACTTCAATTTATATACCTTAAAATTGTAATAAGGAATTAAAAGAGGTGGTCATACAAAAGTTTATAAAAAAATGATTTTAAATGCCTTATGTGATATATCTCCGTCAATTTTAAAGATATAAAACATAGGGAATGAAATACGAATTACATAGATCGCTTTAGATCTAGCACAATTGTATGGGACTCCAAAAGTAATTTCTGAAAAGAAATATTACATGATAAAAAAACACAAATAATGTGTGCATGTATGGTGTGTCAAAAGGCAATGAAGTATCTTTTAATGAATTTGGTTTTTAGTCCAGGTAAGAATGTTAACCATTGCATTTTATCTTTAGATTACTTTACAGAGTACCCCACAAAGGATAAGATTTAAAAGACGACCTGACAATCGTGAAATCTGTCGATCTGAACTTATTACAATTTTAAAACTATAAGAAAAAAGATTGAATAAATCCCAAAAGTCGTCTTTGAAGTATCATCCGGCGCCGTGACAAACTCCTGAAAGACAAACTCCTGAAAGACAAACTCCGGAAAGACAAACTCCTTAAAAGACAAACTCCTGAAAGACAAACTCCTGACGAGACAAACTCCTGACGAGACAAACTCCTGACGAGACAAACTCCTGAAAATAAAAAATTCTGAAATACAAACTCCATAATATCAAATTTAAAAAAATATGGTGGATAGATAGATGGACACAACAACTGGTGGATATATAGATGGACACAACAACAGGTTGATAGATAGATAGACACAACACCTGGTGGATAGATAGATAGACACAACAACAGGTGGATAGATAGATGGACACAACAACAGGTGAATAGATAGATAAGACACAACACCTGGTGGATAGATAGATAGACACAACATCTGGTGGATAGATAGATTGACACAACACCTGGTGGATAGATAGATTGACACAACACCTGGTGGATAGATAGATGGACACAACAACTGGTGGATAGATATATGGACACAACAACAGGTTGATAGATAGATAAGACACAATACCTCGTGGATAGATAGATGGACACAACAACAGGTTGATAGATAGATAGACACAACAACTGGTGGATAGATAGATGGACAAAACAACAGGTTGATAGATAGATAGACACAACACCTGGTGGATATATAGATAGACACAACAACAGGTTGATAGATAGCTAGACACAACACCTGGTGGATAGATAGATAGACACAACAACAGGTTGATAGATAGATGGACACAACAACAGGTGAATAGATAGATAAGACACAACACCTGGTGGATAGATAGATAGACACAACAACTGGTGGATATATAGATAGACACAACAACAAGTAGATAGATAGATAGACACAGCAACAGTGTTACAACAAGTGGAAAGATAAATAAAAGGTGTTTATAAATGAAATACTAGGAAATATTTTTGAAGGAATGCAAATAAAATGTTTAGATAAAGAGAAAAATGAGGATTTACTTGATGGAAAACTTGTATTATTCTTCTGATATCCATTAAAAAGAGAGACACAGGAAAATCATTTTTGTCCTATCGATGCGATTTTTTGCTGTGCAGACATTCAAATTTGAATAGGTATAGATAAGTTAGCCAGCTACAGATCAAGTTTGAATGACGAATGGAAACAATATGTGTAAATAAAACAGATTTACTTTTAAATAGAGAAGAATCCATAAATTTTTGTTATTCAAATGGTTAGGAATAAAACAACCAACTTTGCAAATTTGTGAATCTAAAAGGACAAAAATGCAATGCAGGGAGAGGGGGGGGGTTGTAAAATGTGACAGACAAAGAGAATTATTAATCCTTTCTCTTACTTGAATACAAAGTTTAAAAGAAAGAATTGAATGACAAAGCTAAACTTAAACTCAACTTTCGCCATTAACAGAGAAATTATAATCAAACTTAGGGATTTACAGTTCTGAAAATATATATTCACTTTGCTAGAGTTCAGAAATATTTCATACATGATCAGAGTTTAGAAATATTTTAAACTTTATCAGCTTTAGAAATATTCTAAACTTTATCAGTTTTAGAAATATTCTAAACTTTGCCAGACTTTAGAAATATTCCAAACTTTGCCAGAGTTCAAAAATTTTCTAAACTTTACTATAGTTTAGAAATATTGTAAACTTTTCCTGAGTTTAGAAATACTTTAAACTTTACAAGAGTTTAGAAATATTCTAAACTTTACCATATTTTAGAAATATTCTAAACTTTACCAGAGTTTAAAAATATTCTAAACATTACCAGAGTTTAAAAATGTTCTAAATTTTACCAGAGGTTAGAAATGTTCTAAAACTTCCCAAAGATTAGAAATATTCTAAACTTTACCATAGTTTAGAAATATTCTAAACTTTACCATTGTTTAGAAATGTTCTAAGCTTTACCAGAGTTTAGAAATATTCTAATCTTTACAAGAGTTAAAAAAAATTCAAAGCTTTACCAAAGTTTAGAAATATTCTAAACTTACCAGAGTTTAGAAATATGCTAAACTTACCGGAGTTTAGAAATATTCTAAACTTACCAGAGTTTAGAATTATTCTTACCTACAGTCCATGTACTATCTGCTTAAAGTGTGTACTCAATAATAAAGTACATTATAGTTCACTTTACTTACCTACAGTCCATGTACTATCTGCTGAAAGTGTGTACTCAATAATAAGTACATTATAGTTCACTTTACTTACCTACAGTCAAGGTACTTTCTGCTTAAAGTTTGTACTCCAAGTACCAAGTACAGAACAGTACACTTAACTTACCTATAGTCAATTAACTCTGCTAAAATAAATAAATACAGTACAGTACACGTCACTTACCAACAGTCCATGTACTATCTGCTGAAAGTTTGTACTCAATTACAAAGTACAATACAGTACATGAATCTTGGCTCCAGCTCTCAAGAAGTAGGATGGCCAGGGTAGAGTTCACAACTGAAATCACAACAAAAAATGTTATAAATTAATTTTTTTATTTTTATGATCTATATCATTGATATGAGGGTTTAGAATGCCATTTACGATTTAAAAAAAGAGACAATGGGTATTTTTCGCCATGTCGTTGTTCATTATTGCTTTAGAAATCCTATATCATATCAACAAGCTTGAAAAAAAAGATTTAATTTAGTGAATTCTTGATGGCCTAAAAACTAGTAACAGTCATTAAATTGTTTACCTAAGAAATCCTTTGACAGCGGAGGATTCGGTTTTTCTCCTACGGTTCTTGTATTAATGATCTGACTCGCTTCGCTCTCGCCGATATAGTTAGTTTGGTACATAACCATATGGTACTGCCGTCCACAGTACAGATCTGTTAATGTATCTTCTTCAGCATAAAAACTAACCTAGAAAGAAGATAAGATAAGATAAGATAAGATAAGATAAGATAAGATAAGATAAGATAAGATGAGATAAGATAAGATAAGATAAGATAAGATAAGATAAGATAAGATAAGATAAGATAAGATAAGATAAGATAAGATAAGATAAGATAAGATAAGATAAGCTCTAAATCTAAAGATAAAATCTAATTTTAGCAAAGGTATGAAATTAAATTTAATTGATTTTGATTTTTGTATGGAACTCTGAAAATTATTAATATCTCCATTGAGCTAAATATTTAAAGTATTGAAGATTAAATCCTTTAGTAAAGTTTAAATTCAGGTTTAGAACTTTAAACTATAAACTCGGAGAACCATGCAGCTTTACCAACCAAAGGAAGGGGGAGAGGGGGGGGGTGCAAAAGAAGAAGGGGGGTCTGGAGGGGATGATTTGTAATGAAGCTGATTAAGAAATGTTTTTTTTTCAAAATCAATTCCGAGGATATTGTGAAAATTTAAAAATAAATTTTGTTAGTCGAATTCTAGTGAATTAGCGTATATCATGTTTTATGAGATATAAGTAAAAAAAGAAGAACAAGTACATCCATATCTTTTTTTTTAAAATGTGCACTACTTTTTCTGAAACTGATTTTTACTTTTCATGTAAACAAAGATATGGTGGATCCAGAGACCGAAACTTAAAACAGAGTATCGTCATGAAACCCGGTATTAGAACCCAGGTTTCGTAAATGAGTTAAAACAATTTTTTGGATCGAAATATTATTTTATATAATTAGTCTTTTCATTTTCTAATTCATTAATATATACAGAAATGGCTGGACCCCAAACAGGAAACAGTGGAGGTTCGTTCAAAGCTATTTTCCTAGTTAAAAAACCGAACCTGTTTTTCCATCCATTCTCCGTATGTGATCTTATATTTTATCCTGTATCCAATAACAGGAGAGTTTCCTAGTTCTGAACCCGTCCAGCGCAGAGTTATAGAGTTAGAGGTCACACGGTGGACTCGGATAACAGGAGGTTTAGGTGCAACTATAAATATAAGTATAAAAACTTATAGCATAAAAATATCTTGAAAATACTATCTACCTAAATTTTCAAGTTACTCTCAATTCAATTATTTTTTAAATAGAAAGATTTATTGAAAACCTGATGGAGTTTATTGAAAACCTGATGGAGTTTATTGAAAACCTGATGGAGTTTATTGAAAACCTGATGGAGTTTATTGAAAACCTGATGGAGTTGATTGAAAACCTGATGGAGTTTTCCAAAACAGCAAAATGAAAACAGTGTCGGTTGGAAAATGTTTTACAGAAAATATTTGAATTAAAAAGCAAAGAGTCTTTTTTGTTAAAAATATACTTACATTTTATATGTTTTTTTTAGAAATATTATAACATCCATTAGTCACAATAAAAAATATTTGGAAAAAGGTTCTAACTTAAACCATCAAAAAAAAAAGCCTGACGAAAAAAGGAATTGTTTGCTGCAAAATTTTGATCATGTTTCTGCAGTGAAGATATTACATTTTACTGCACACCTATTTTTTAATTTAATTGATTTCTTTTTCTTATATATATCTTCTTAAAATAATTTTTCCTGGGACTTTTTTTTTGAATTTCATCAGACTGATATCTGCGCTTTAAATAACATGAATTACGTATAAAATCATGTGTTTTTTTCCAAATCAATTCTATCGCAATCGTGAAAATTTCAAATAAAAAGATTTCGAACTTTTTTCTGATGTCTTTATTTTACAGGCTTTTTCCAAATACTTCTTATAATGGATTCCTGCAGAGATATAGCGGGTTTCTGATTGTGTGTGTGTGTGGGGGGGGGGGGGTATATTGGTCAGTTGGGATTCTCTTTGTACTGTACAACTAGGCTCCTTATATGTATTATACTGCATTGATATTTATTTAATAAATATGCATAGCTATAATGCATGAATATTAAGTGGATCTAAACAATAAATATGCATATATTTCATACTTGTTTATGCTGGGTTTACGATATGCAATTTGTTTATATATATTTACAATAGAACATTAACTACATACACAATACACATCTTTTGGTGCATTTTTCTACACATTTCCCTTGTTAGATCAACAAATGTAAGATGGTTTACTAAACATATATTTTCTTAAATTTTCTATATCAATTCAGGGGTATTCACGCCCCCTTTTCCAATGCTAATAATGACTTAAGGTACTTTTAACCTAAGTTCATTTTCAGGATTACTTCAATACATAAATGAAGTTTGGGGGAGCAACGACTGTACATTATTTAGCATTTTTTAAGACTTTGGTTTAAAACATATGAGTGCATTGTGAGTACAAATGGAAGGAAAGTCAATTGCGGTCGCGTATATTCTGTTTTTCTTTGACCTCCAGATAGTGATTTGTTAAGCAGTTTCGATTAAAACAGTTTCGATAAATGCATTTTCGACTAAACTCTAATGCTAGAAAAAACTTGGGTGAAAAATCTCATGATAATCCTGTTTTTCTTTGACCTCCAGATAGTGCCTCATGATAATCCGGTGCCTCATGATAACCCTGTCAGATTGGTCAAAAACTCATCATAAACCGGTAAACGTATGTCCATATTGAAACCAGTTCTCTCTGGGCGGAATTTGTAAACAATAATAGATGCATCACCCAGTGCTCGTTTAGTACCCGAGGAGGAGGTTAAAAGCATTAAATTTTGATAATTTTGATAATTCACATAATAGTTTCCTATGACCAGAATATTTTATTGATTTTTTTTATGTGAAAGATGGATCCCAAGTCAGGCTGTGACATCCGTCTTGTGTTTACATTAACGCCCAGAGACAGTACACTGCAGTACAAAAGATGCGTACACCTCTGAAATAACTTTCCTTGCATTATTACCTTGCATAAAACGGAATAATATCAATTCCTTAAGGACTCGAAAGTTGTTTTTGATCTTGTAAATATTTAATAAACCGAAATAATATTAATTTCTTGATTTTATTAATTATTATTTCGGTTTAATTAGAGTATTATACTGTGTAGTCGATATAGCACGTGTTATGCACAAAATGTTTACCTTGAACCCTGAGAGAGTATGAGATAGAATCTAATGTTTCTCCATTCTCTATTATACAAGTATAGTTCCCTGTGTCCTCAGATCTAAAAATATTTTTTCTTCTTCAATTGAAAATCAATTATTAATTTCCTATTACAAGACCTTTAATTTGCAAAATTCTGGTATTGAAAATGTACTTTCTAATACTTTGAAATTAAGGATTTTAATGATCATAAGAATTTAATGAACCCTTGATTAAAAGAACAATTTCCAAATTGGAAAAACTTTTTTTTTTTAATTTCAACAAGCCAAAATTCAATTATCATTAAATATAAATTTAAATAAATTATTAATTTGCAGAATGGAGTCTATATTATCTTGCAAAAATTAAGTATTAAAAAAGGTATTTTTTTAAACTGCACTCTGCTTATTAAAATTTTAATAGCTGTGAGAAATAAAAAAGAAAAATATAAAAAAATTATGTAATATTTTTGCAACATCACCATGGTATGACTTTGTGACCTTTCAGCTTTTCTACTTTTAATTTTAATCTCAATACCTCTTCAAAAAGGGAAGTTTATAGGATTAAAAACAATATTTTTTCAAACTCACTTTAGTTTGACTTATTTTTATTGTCAGTTAAAGAAAAATGTTCTCACCTTGCAGATTCTATAGAGAGTTGGCTCGTACCATATGTTGATGCTTGATTCACCCAGTTCGCTTCCTTACCCTGAGCAATGGATCAGATATAGGTTTATTTATAATTTACTTCTTTATTCATTTATTTTATGAACTAACCAAGGAGAGATGAATTTGTTTTCTTAATTTTGAATTTAATCGTTTTTTGGTCTATAACTCTACCATCTTTAGACTTTGAAATACTTTTTCATTAAAAACGAATCCGCCAACAAAAAAGTATTTAATAGGAAAAAATTTTAAATAATCAAAAGTCAAAGCTTGCTGGTAAAAGGACCGAACTGTTAATCCGCATGAGCTAGAGAAGTTCCATATATGTAGATAACAAATAAAATTAAATAAATGCATTTTGAAAAAGATTTTTAATTTCTTAAACAACTATGAATTCCGAGTTTGGTATTTTCTTTTTTAAGAAAGGTTTGTAATATTCTAAATATAAGAATGGTTGGTTGAATATTGCCCTTTGCATGTTCCTAAACCTTGAAGTAGAATATAGATTAGAGATATTTTGTCAAGAATAATATATTAAAGGGACTGTAGGTGTAATTTCAAGTGGCCCTCAATTTAAAGAGTGAGCTATTGTCGTATTTCTATCTAAAAAAAGTCATTCTTTCTCTTTCTGCATAAAAATAAAAAAAGTAGCTTTTAAAGAAAACAACAAGAACCTAAATAGAACTATAAGATTTTATCTATATAATAAAACAAAACATTCGTATATATATATATATATGTTGTGTATATAGACAGCCAAACGACTGGACCGATTGAACTGAAATTTTTTGTGGAAACTAATGGGTTGCCGGGGGGTGTTATAGGCTAAAAAATAGAGATTATCTTTTCAAATGTTTTTTCTTCCACGGGCAACGCCAGGCTCTGCAGATAGTAAATTATATTTGCTTAGAGAACGGTTTACAGGGTACTGTTGTATATCAGACACTACAGGGTACTGTTGTATATCAGACACTACAGGGTACTGTTGTATATCAGACACTACAGGGTACTGTTGTATATCAGACACTACAGGGTACTGTTGTAAATCAGACACTACAGGGTACTGTTGTATATCAGACACTACAGGGTACTGTTGTAAATCAGACACTACAGGGTACTGTTGTAAATCAGACACTACAGGGTACTGTTGTAAATCAGACACTACAGGGTACTGTTGTAAATCAGACACGCCACATTTTCTACAGAAATTGCCGTCTTCATTAAACAAAGACAAATTTGTTTAAGGAATTGATGAATTTAGAATGAAGAATGTAAAAATAAATCGATAAATAAAAAAATAAAAAACTTGATTGCTTTGTAACATCAAATGCAAATAGAATATGATAAAATAACATGCTTGCATAAAATGAAAAAAAAAATAAAAATACAAGTGAAAAATCATAAATGAATCTAAAAAGAAATAAAGGTTAAGAAAAGTGATTCAAAAACTCTTATTAGTAAATGATATGGATAACAAATGATGATCTAAATTAGTTGAATGAATGAGATTATGTTAAACCAGTTGTATGAATAAATATGTTTCTTAAAAAGGCGTTTAAAAGAAAATTTTATAAGAATACATTTTTTAAAAAGTTTAAAGAGAAAATTCCAAAAAATTTAATATTATAAATAGTTAAATACATAGATAAAAACTCAAAGAAAAAAATTTTCTATTTTTGACTCGATCAATTAGACAAATATCATATTTCAAAAATATAAGGATAAAAAAATTAGAGTTTGCGTTGAGTAATCAGTTGGTTTAAAAATGGCTTAATCTCTGTTTACCTGAAAATACCATCGTGTGACAGGAGGTGGGGTCCCAATATGTCTGCAGGGTAAATAAACTGGACTTCTCCAAACCTTTAAACAACCTTTTTGACGATCTGTTCTTAAAACAAATCCTATTTCATCTAAATGATGAAGTTGGGAAATGTTGTAGTTTTGCTTAAATTTATTAGGTAATATAAATTCTTTTAATAGACCTTTAAAATTAATTTTTTGTAAAAGAAATATTTTTGAAAAAATCCTATTTCATCAAATTATAAGTTTTTAAAACTCCAAATCTGAGCACCTAATGGCTAACCTTTAAGCTGGCAGAATTTATAGTTGAAATATAAAAAGGTCTACAAAATTCCACAATTTTTTCTTTATTTTTGACTAAATACAGAATATAGATATATTATATTTGATATATATATATTATATGATAATTATATATTCGGTTTATTGTGTTTATTTTGAATATTGATTTCAGGTTGTATGTTCTTCTTCTAATTAATTAGTTATGCACATATTGGTTCTCTATACTTTCTATCTATCTATCTAATTTTCTATCTATAAATCTATCTATATCTCACCCCGAACTAACGAAAGAGAGAAGCATTCGGTTTCTTTTATTTGAAATCAAACGTGTTTTCGTCTATTACTCAACAGTCTTTAGACTTACAGATTTGTTTGTTTTATACTTTTTCATTCAGAATGTATATGCCAACAAAAAAGTATTTAAAATAGAAGGCTATAAAATTATGTAAAAGGGGTCAAATTGTGATCGAAAGTCACAGTTTTCTGAAATATTGACAGAACCGTTAAATCCACGTGATCTATTTATCCTTCTATCTATCTATCTATCCATTTATCTATCTTTTGCTAGTTTGTTTACCCACGCAAATTTTAAAATCTAATTTGCCTAAAAAGATGTTCATATGAAATGTTAAAAATTGTGAAACCAATAGTTTTAAAGTTCAAACTTTAAATTCTTAGAAATTCAAGGTAAACCCCTACGCAATGATTTGAAATCAATAGCGCTTTGTGGTTGAGGGCTTAAGGTTTAAGGTTTAAGGTTTAAGGTTTAATGTTTAATGTTTAAGGTTTAAGGTTTGAGGTTTAAGGTTTTAAGGTTTTAAGGTTTAGGGTTTAAGGTTTAAGGTTTTAGGTTTTAAGGTGCATCATTCTGAGTAGTTTGAAACATAACCCTAATAAAGTTAGTATGTTGCAAGGCAGAAACACTTTCAATGTAATATATTTTGTTTCAAGTTTCTGTAAATCATTAATTGTGTGTAATCTAATCTGAAAAAGTTTGTTGTACAACTTTTTCGTGTTCTAATATGATTCCATGTTTCATAAAATATTTTCTAGATTAGTTTTTCACTCACTGTACTGTCCTCTCAATGGCATAAGGTTAGATATTATATATAGGACGAACTTCCGAGTAATTTCAACGACCCGTAAACCTTAATTTTACTTACCAATGGGTTCCCAAGACCAATTTTGCCTTTTTGCCTACACGATTGGTCTTGGAAACCATTGGCAAAGTAAAGGTTCCTTGACTTCCCTGTAAATTAGTTTTACATAATTATTATCCATTGAATTACCTGGAATAGTTCCCAGCCTATGGAGGTTATTTGAGGGATTGGATTGTTAGAAGGAGTTTTAGTCACAACCTGGGAGCTTCGTCCCTCACCCTGATACAATTATATTGAATAAAGGAAGTGTTCGGGATTTAAGACTTATTGTTCTGAGATCACATGGTAGAATCTTCTAGGTTAAAAGTTACTGCGATGGAACTAAAAAAGACAATATGGACCTTAAATGACAGTAAATATGCTTTGTGAGATACAAATAGATTTCAAGGATTTGGAAAATATTTTGACTTAAACTGTTTATTTGCATGAATTAAATGTCATGTATTTACCATCATCTATTTCAGAAGCTTTTAAATCGTTTCATAACTCCTTTGTTTATTGGAACCATCCGTATTAAAACTTTAAAATGATTCAGTTTAACTCTTTATCTCCTTTACACTTAGCAACGGGATTACAAGATTTAGAGATCTCTATCTAAACAGAACTCGTTCTAATGCTTGCTATATAGGCTTATGCAAATTTTTGCTTATAATTTATTTTAAACTTTTCAAACGACGAATCTTTTAAGAGACTATAAGCGTAATTTCAAATGACCCTCCATGCAATTTGATACCAATGTTTATAATTTTGAAAAATGATTATTTTAATTTAATGTTGGCTTCTCTTAAAACGTAAATCGCGCATTTCTATTGCAGGAAATTAGGCTTAGCTTACAGTCCCTTTTGACTGTTTGGACAGAATTTTTTTGTGGACTCTCATGGGTGGCCGGAAATGTTATAGACTAAAAAAATCGATTTTTTTTCATTTTTTTCCACGGGCAATGAAAGGCCCTTCAGCTAGTTAATAATATTTTAGGTTTATTTCTCCTGTATCTAAGTATTGTGTATATGAGAGTGGAAGAGGGTTACATTATGTATATTGTATTGGCAAATGTATTTTCTTTTTTATTCTAAAAACACCAGCTAGCACTCTCAATACAATAACAACTAAATAATCCACACTGCTGCTGTGAACATAAAAAAGACAAAAAAGGAATGGAACGTAATAAAATTATGTTAGGTTTCAAGAACTCTAGATGGCGTTCTTTTCTTTATAGCAAATTTCAAATATTAGCAGCAACAAATTTCGTAGATTTTGGTAATTTTATTGGTGGATTTTAAAAATTTTTCAAGTACTATTTTCAAGTCATGACCGCTCAGCCGATTTGACGTTTATTTCATACCAGAGACCAAAAAAAATTGAAAAGAATAAAGATATTTTGAATAATCATATTTTTAATCATTGAATCCATTAATTTGTTCAAAATTATCACCCAAGTAATACTTATAGCATGATTAATCAATTACCTTTTTAGTAACTGCTTGAACCCAAAACTGATGCTGCGTACCCGTCCTTAAGCCTAAAAGAGAATAATATAATTTAAACTGTCTTAAACTTAAAAATTAAAAAATATTTTACTTTAGATTACGTTAAAATTACAGTTTTTGAAATAACCATAAACCCACAAAACTTTAATTTTGTAGCCATAATCTTTAGTTTAAAAGATTCCAACGCTGCAAAAGGCAGCAGTTTTTAGCTTTAAATGTGAAATAGATTTCAAGAATGAATATTGCATATTTTAGTTACAATGTTTATATTCAATGCGTCAAATTTGAGACTAAAAGAAGAATACAAAGTGAATTTTGAGACCTAAAGGGTTAACTACAGTTAACCCTAAATGAGCCATACATCGAACAAATTTATCAAATGTCAATTTTTCCATGGGGTTTATACTATTTTACGTAAATCAGTTTTTGCGAAAAAAAATAAATAGCCATGAATACGCGGGAACAGTTTTAAAGAGTTCCATATAATCATTTAATTAAAAAACTAAATATCTGCAACATTCCATTATCAGAAAGTGAAGAATACGACATTTGATGAATTCTTTCGATGTATTGCTTATTTACGGTTTAACTGTATAAAGGATGAGACTGTAAAGACGACAAAACACACTAAAATACGACGATCCCAAGGTTAAACTTAATTGTCTGCCATGAATTTAGTATTTTAAAGGCTCATTTAATGATTTTGAAAAAGAAAAAATAAGCTTACAGTTGCAGGGAATCATAAATATAAGGAAACAGATTGTATACATTTCATATATTCAGATATTTCTTCGTAAAGGATTTACTATTATTTAAGAATGGCAAAAAAAAATTGTAAAATGGAAGCCAGCTGTTCTTTTTTGTAATTCTAATTCTGTAAATATTCTTTTTATATCATCATTTTTCTATAATACTGAATAGGTTTAGTAAGATAGGAGTAGTCTGATCCCAGGGGAGTTTGCTTGGAATATATTCTTTATCTGTTACATTTCTATATTATTCTTTTATTCAACTTTTATCATATAGGTAACATATCAAGTCTTGATATGTTATATTTCTGTATTATTCTTTTATTCAACTTTTATCATATAGGTAACATATCAAGTCTTGATATGTTATATTTCTGTATTATTCTTTTATTCAACTTTTATCATATAGGTAACATATCAAGTCTTGATATGTTATATTTCTATATTATTCTTTTATTCAACTTTTATCATAAAGGTAACATATCAAGGTAACTTTTATCTCATAAAAACAATCATGATGCTTCAAACTCTAATTGGTTGAAAGGATTTGAGTCTTTGCCACAAACGCAAGTTATCCAATCCTTATATCTTTGCAACCTAAAGTTGTAAACCTTTCATATTTCAAACTTAAGTTATTTGATCTTACAGAATTCATAGTTTAAAATATCTAAGGTCTACGAAATCGGGTTACAAAGAAATAGGGATTAAAAAATCAGAGTTTGTTGCAAAGACTCAATTCCTTTATTGAGAAACACCCATGGGTACTCTGGGGGTAACATTGACTAAAGAAATTTAAATATTTTTTCTTAAAAATTCTACTTTTTAATTTGACTTTTTTTAAAGTGTTTTTATTATTCCACGAGCAACGCTGATAAATAAATCCTGCATGCTTTGCGCACTCTCTTCGACAAATATAATTTATTTTCTCTCACTTTAATTTTCGAATCCTTACATCTTTGCAACCTGATGGTCTAAATCTTTGATATTTGATATCAAAGACATTAGGATTATAGTACGGTTTGAAGTTTTACAAAAAGAATTGTAATTGTATTTTTTAAAATCCAGAACAGGCAAAAACTCTCATAAAAGTCTTTTTCGAAAAAAATTAAATCCTTTATTGATGGTTTAATTACTTTATTTAGAAGCATTAACCAGTGACACGGACTTATTGACGTTATTTTAAGTGACCCAACATTTATGGAGTAGCATGTCAGATTCACAATTTGTCACTCTGTTTAACTTTCGTCGCAGTAAAAATGATGGATTTATCCTGATTTTCTTAAATTATCTGTTTTCTAGTTGCAGTTTGCTCTGCACATTTACGTATTTAAAGGTACCATATTGTGAATCGGACATCGCGATATATCAATGGCGAGTCACTTGAAACTAAGCCTACAGACCCTTTGTCTGAATGGGGGTGGGGGGGGGGTTAAACTGCAAAAAAAGTAGAAAAAAGGGTTAATAACTTAGTTGTCAGACAGAGAGTTAGTTTCACTTTTATTCCAAATTTTATCGGCAAATAATGAATTCTCATTTCGTAAAATAATCACATTGAAATCAGTTATTATGACATAACCATAATTAAATTATGAATCAAATTTGACTTATGCCTGTAAAGAGGATAAAAAGCTTGGGTACTCATATTGACTGTAACAATTGTAGAAATATCGGTAACTAGCTGATGTGCCCAGGGTTGCCCGTGGAATAAAAAAATGGAATTTAAAAAGAAATAAATTTCTGACAATTTGGCCAGCTATAGCCGAAAAGCTTTATTATATAGATAAAATTGAATAGTATCAGCTGTAGATAGTTATATAGTTATATAGATAAAATTGAATAGTATCAGCTGTAGATTGTTATCAAACAAATTAGATAAAATTGTATAGTATCAGCTGTAGATAGTTATCAAACAAATTAGATAAAATTGAATAGTATCAGCTGTAGATAGTTATCAAACAAATTATGATATAACCATTTTCATAAAAAAAAACATATTGATAAATATTTTGATATTTTTTATTTAAAATGATAAATTCTCATTTTATTTCCTTTAAAATTTTTTTATCGTTGAGAAATGCCAATGTGAACTAGTTAAGTTTGAATTATGACGAAAACAGAGCTGAAAACTTTAGAATGGTGGATATCAAGATTAATGCTAACTCCTGGTTTTAATAAAACCAAGATTATTTTAAAACGCATTCGGTATCCAAGAAAGAAGTTAAAAATTTAACCAATCAGCGTGTCATGTAAAAATGTATTCGTTAACTTTTGAAAACCCGGTTTTGATTTCTGGTGTTGATGGTGTCATATCAATTGAACGAACGTAAGTTAATGTTTATTAAAACTAACGTTAAAAATGAAAATAGTCCTAAAATATGTTTTTTCATATTAACATGATTAAATATATATTTGTTTAATGCTCTTAAAGCCGGCTTGTGAACAGTCAAAAGTCAGGTTGTAAAGGAGGAGATTAGCAAATCAGAAATTGTTGCTGAATTTTACCATTTCGTGAGTTATAATACCTGTAATATCGAAGCTATCACTGCTTGCAGGTCTGTCATATTTTGTATGGGACTTCTCCCTTCCAAAATGTACTTCCCTAGATTGTAAAAAAATAAATTATTTTTATAATCACTGATTGGATTTTGATTTAGGGTTTAAGAAGAAAAACTTAAGTTTTTCTAAAAATCAATAAAGATAAAATAGAAAAAAAACATTTTCGGAAATTTTTATTTTTGACGTCGGGTATGAATAATATANTGTCCCAATATACATGATGAAAAAAGGATAAATGTACACTACAGGGTGTCCAAATATACATGATAAAAAAAGGATTAATGTACACTACAGGGTATCCCAATATACATGATGAAAAAAGGATTAATGTACACTACAGGGTGTCTCAATATACATGATGAAAAAAGGATAAATGTACACTACAGAGTGTCCAAATATACATGATAAAAAAAGGATTCATGTGCACTACAGGGTGTCCATATACAAGATGAAAAAAGGATAAATGTACACTACAGGGTGTCCCAATATACATGATGAAAAAGGATAAATGTACACTACAGGGTGTCCCAATATATATATGTAATATATATCTCAACAATAAAGGTAAGACTTTCACCATAAACTAAGCTAACGGTAAGTGTACTGCAAGGATCTGCAGTACACTTACCAAAAAAGAAAAGCTGGTTTTATCGGAGTGTAATTTTATCAAGTCGTATATAAGAATATACTAAAAACATTGTTTATTATAATCATAGAGAATAGAATATATATATAGAGAGGAATTTACTAGAAAAAAGTGTAAAACGGCCATTTTGTTGTAATGTTTCCATACTGCAGGTGTACTTCACATATATTTGTGCTATATAACCTGTTGGGCCCTAGAATATCATTTTATTGAAAATCTAAAATTATTGTTAAAAGAAACCCAAATTATGAAATAGGCTGGTTTCATAATTGACCAATGATCATTTCACATAGACTCTATGCCTTCCACTTTACAAACGATGATTTTCCGTTATAATTATAAATCAAATGATGTTTTTATTCACCTAATTCATAATAAAGTTTATTTAACAGTTTAAAAAATTTGAAATTTAAATGAATAGTCTAGGGAACATACTGTATTAATGTACTCTACTGCATATAATTTGTGAACATTTACATGATTTGTACACTTTGAACTCCCTTTCAGGCTGAAAGGGACTGAAAAAATTCATACCG